TCAAATTTTCACAGGACTAGTTTCGATGGGTTTACCAAACCATCATCCTCAGCTGCAAAAGCGCAAATGAACGAGATAAGATAAGAAAGTCTGGAAAGGAGATAAGCTACTGGTGCCATCTGTTGATGAAACCAGAAGTAAAACATAATTTCTTCAAATTATGTTTATTGAAGGCAAACATGGATTGGAATTAGGGTTGTTAACTAGAACAGAAAGATTTTTTTGAATAATTTTGGCAGCAGAAAAATTGAAAGTGTGATTATTGGACAAACAATGTTCAGAAGACAGAACAGAAGACTTCTGTGCTTCCTTTCTTTCTAACTTATGCCTCATGTTCCTTAACGCGAAATTTTAAGGCTCTCTTAGTTTGGCCAATTTAAATTAAACTACACTGGCAAGGAATCCTGTAAATACTCCCGGAATTCATATCCGGAATGAAGTCCTTGAGTATGGAACTCGGAATTTTATTGATGGGAGAATAAATGACCCGAAAGTTAAATTTCTGCAAAATATGTGCAACTTTATAGCTAATTGAAGGAAAGAAGGGAATGACAACATAATTTTTATAATTTCCTAAACCAAGAGTGTGCCTTTTGGTGTGTTGAGATGAGAATTTTTTAGCTGCTTGATTAATAATGTTGAAAAGCCCCTGTCAATAGCTATTGTTTTCAAATAATTTAGTTCTTCATCAAGGGTCAGTTTGGAGGAGCAAACTTGAAGAGCACAGTAAACATAGGAATAAAATGAAGCTAACTTTTGTTTAGTCGGATGACATGATTTGAAGTGTGGTGGAAGGCAAACCGATGAAGGTTTACGGTAAACCGTAGTACTGAAGTTGGATGTGTTACGTGTGACCAGAATGTCGAGAAACGGAAAAGAATTGCAAGTCTCAAGTTGAAAAGTGAACTGAATAGCAGGATCAATGGAATTCATTGCTGAAAGAATTTTATTTAAATCATCTTTATTACCTTCAAAAGGCAGGGGCGTAGCTAGAGGGGGGCCAGGGGAGGCATCTGTCCCCGGGCGCAGAATCCAAGGGGTGCCAAACTGATGTTACGACATTTTAGAATTAAATGTTTTCCATCCTTGGCAAGCAGTAGGGGGCGCGAAATCTTCAGTTGTCCTTGGGCGCTGAAAACCCTAGCTACAACTCTGTCAAAAGTCTTAAATTATCATCTACGTAGCAGAACCATACCGGGAAGTTTAAAGTTTCAAACAATTTTGATTTATAATAATTCATGTAGATATCAGCCAGGATGGGACTGAGGGGGCTTCCCATAGCTAATCCCTCAGTTTGCTTGTAATATTTATTTTGCTTTCCAATACAAAATGCAAACATTTTGTTTTCCAAAATAAATATTACAAGCAAACTGAGGGATTAGCCATGGGAAGCCCTCTCAATCCCATCCTGGCTGATATCTACCTCAATTATTATGAATCAAAATTGTTTGAAACCTTAAACTTCCCGGTATGGTTCCACTACATAGATGATATTTTTAGCCTGTTTGAATGTAATAAAAATAATTTAAATAAAGTTCTTTCAACAATGAATTCTGTTGTTCCTGCTATTCAGCTCACTTTTGAAATTCAGACTTGCAATTTTCTTCCGTTTCTCAACATTCTGGTCACACATAACACATCTAACTTCAATGCTACGGTTTACCGTAAACCTTCATCGGTTTGCCTTCCACCACACTTCAAATCATGTCATCCGACTAAACAAAAGTTAGCTTTATTTTCTATGTTTTCCGTGCTCTTCAGGTTTGCTCCTCCAAACTATCCCTTGATGAAGAACTAAATTATTTAAAAGCAATAGCTATTGACAGGGGATTTTTCACCCAACATTATTAATCAAGCATTTAAAAAATTCTCATCTCAACACACCAAAAGGCACATTCTTGTTTTAGGAGATTATAAAAATTCTGTTGCCATTTCCTTCTTTTCATCAATTAGCTATAAAGTTGCACGTATTTTGCAGAAATTTAACTTTCGGTTTGTTTACTGTCCCATCAATAAAATTCCGAATTGCATACTCAAAGACCCCATTTCGGATATGAATTCCTGGGGAATTTACAGAATTCCTTGTCAGTGTGGTTTAATTTACATTGGTGTTGTGTAGCAAATTTGACATAATTAAATTAATCACCGAAATCAAAATTTTAATGTGTTGATATTCTAAATTTTAAGCTACACAATATGTTTGGATTTATTAATTTATTTGGTTATTAGTAGTTTATTGTAATCAATTTGGGTTATTTGATTTTACACGAAATGCTTAGCTAGCGTCGTTTTGTGCCCACTTCGTTTTCAAACTTGTACACTCAAACAATGGATATAGGTGAATTTTCACGTAATAAACTTAGTTTTTCATGACTAGAATTAAGTTAAAACCTTAGAATTTATTATTAGTAGATGCAAAAAAATTACCTCCTTAATTTGAGACTACTTTCTTAATCCTCGCCTTAATCAATTTTAAGTTATAGCCTTTTAATTATTAAAACTTCCTAAGTTTTTCTTCTAACAAGAAAGGGGGAAAGAAGAGTTACAAAAATTCACTTTCAATGAAAAAATGTGCATTCTTTGGACTTGAAAAGCCACGTTTTACAAGGGCAGGCGTGGCCTCATCTTGACGCGATTCTGGCGAGTTGGGAGATCCGTTGTAATTTTAAACTGGTTGGGTTTGGTAAAAATTTTGCATTGCTTAAGGCGGGAGTTTTCGGCAACTGATTTTTTTCACCTTTTCGGGCGGGGGTTTAGCCAAGCTGGCTGTCCCGATGTCTAAAAGGGGTTGTTTTCGCGGAAACTGCGCCTTCTCTTCTCGCCCCTGGACACCATCTCTTGGAGTTGCGGCTTTTGCCTCCTGTCGACGTTTACGCAGTTCTTAACAATGAGAAACCCTCTCCTTTCTCGGAACCTTTGGGCCCGAGACTTGCTAATACTTCTCCTCGTATAAGAAAGTAGGTCTAAAGTAATATTTAGACTTTTTTAAGGGAAGACTAACTTTGAGGAGATAACAGCTTATTCATTATGTTGCTTTCAACGGTTTGATTTCACATCAGATAATAACCTTTCTGCCCTACTGCATTTTTGGCCTGGAATATGGATTCCAATGAATCCAGTTACCAGTTTTCAACCTCCTGAATGTTGGTCCACTCTTCTTTCCGGAATTCTGATGAAAAAAAATGGACATTACCAGTTTTCAACTGCCAGAATAATGATCCACTCTTCCGTCCTGAATCCTGATGAAATAATGGACCGTCTGCAGCTTCTACTGGCCTGAATTTGCTGTTCCGCTTTCCTTTCAGAAGACCTCGGTCATGAAGCCTCTGTAAGGTGATATTATTCTACTTAAATTTTTTCTTGCTATTTCATTAAATTCAGAAAATTTCTTAAATCTTAAGGTCTCCAAGATTTCGTGGAGTTGTTATAGGTGTGGGTGATGTTAATTGTTAAAAGAAAAAAAAAAATGTTCTTCCAATTAAATTAGATAAAAATGAGTTGTGCATAAAGTGATTTTTATTTTGAGTTTGGAATTATTAATGTTTAAATGTTAATATCTGCTAGAAGTTTTCCTAAGAAAACAAAGAGAAGTAAAATTAATTTGGTTCGTTTTTATTATCTTTATTATTAGAGTTATCTGGTAAAATATTTCAAGTTCGAAAAGCTCAATTTTAAAGAAATTACATTGTTTTGTTGTTACTATTATTATTATTTGAAGAACCGTTAGAGTAAACTGAATAAGTCAGCTAAAGTTAATAGTTAAGATTCAGAATGTGAAAATATATATCTTGTAGTTCTGCAGTAAAGGAGTGTTCTCTGAAACTTAAATTAGTGCTCATAGTCGGTACATTAAGTCATTACTCTGGTATAAATTCTGTGGAATTTTTATAATTCCTCCTGGAAATTATGTTAAGGTTGCTCCCCCTTTGGAAAACTGATTTTTTGTGTGTGCAATAAGGGTGTAAACTGAATTGTATATGAGAAATTTTGAAAATTGTCCTATAGAAAACCTGTGAAAGAAAAAGTCTAGAAATATGTTAAACTTAATAGAATTAATAATAGAATTAAATTTTGATGTGCAATATGGAGAAATAAGTCTATAGAAAATGTTAAACCTACTTGTATTAAGGGTGAAATTTTACCAATTAGATATAATCTTATGTTGAATTTTTTTTTAAATATTTTTTCCCGGGAATATCTTTAATAGCTAAATATCTATTTTTTTTATTATTATTATTATTTGATTCTATCACTGTATTTGAAATTAATGGATGTTCATTTCCAAATAAACAAATTTATTTTCATTGAAATATTTAAGTGTATGTTTTTTTTTATTTACTTATGTCATTCACCAGGTCACCTAAAATTGAATTACAGGTTAATCCGGTAAAATTTAACACAATGCAAATGTATTTTATGGATAGGAGTAGGCTAGCCATTTAAGAAACTTTACTACCGTGTTATGTGTCACCTCAAAAAGGCACATAACATTGGCCAAACTAAGAAAGCCTTAAAATTTCGTGTTAAGGAACATAAGGTATATGTTATAAAAAGGAAACACAGAAGTCCTCTGTTGCCCAACATTGTTGGTCCAAAAATCACACTTTCAATTTTTCTGCTGCCAAAATTATTAAAAAAACATCTCCATTGGTGAACTGGATTTTCTAGAGGCATTTCACATTCAAAAGAATCTTTCTGTTCTAATTAATGACCCTAATTTCAATCCATCTTTGCCTTCAGCCTTTAAAGAAATTATGTTTTAGTTCTGGTTTCATCAACAGATGGCGCCAGTAGCTTATCTCCTGTCCAAGCTTTCTTATCTTATCTAATCATTATATCTTATCTCATTCATTTGTGCTTTTGCAGCTGAGGATGATGGTTCAGTAAAACCATTGAAACTAGTCCTGTGAAAATTTGAAAATATAACGATTTTTGTTTGACTTCTAAATTAATATATGAAACAATATTAAACAGATGAAATTTTAAAAAACGTTACTTACTTCAGAATTTATAAAAGGTGTAGAAGAGATAAACGGTTTGCTTTTATTGTCTTGAAATACTAGTACTTCTATAGGTATATTACATACATTGCCACCTAAAATAAACATACAAAGACCAAATGCCTGCAATTATTATTGCTACTAAAATTTTTTTTTAGAATAAAGTAAAATTCAGATATCATTAGTTTAATCAAATATGATGTTCAACTAGACTCAATGACATAAATTAATTATTAATACTGAATAAATACAATCAGGTACAAGTTTAAAAATATATTATGCCCATAGCAAAAATTATATTGGGAATATTCTATATCTATAAAAAGATATTTTCTTGCATTATGCCAATTAAAAGTTTTATCTTTTAATATCTTCCTATATGATATTTTATTGATATTATGACACTATTAAATGTATTGAAATACAGTAGATAATGATTCAATTTTAGTTACCAAATTTGAAAAAACTATTTACTGAGGCTACTGTAACAAATGATCCTTCTAATCTATTCATGTGCATATCTGCATTTACTTTTGTGAAGTAACACATGTGCATTTATGCCTGACTGCAGGACATCAACATATAAAACTTTCATACTCATGCAATTAATGTATCAGTCAATTATATTTTTATTATGCAGTTACATTTTATTTTCACTGTATAACTGAAAAAAATACAGCAAAAACACTGTTACGATCAAATAACTTTGAAAAAGAAAATGATTAGCTAGATATTGAAAATCGGATTACTCTCTTTCTCATAACAAAAAATTTGATTTCAATTTGTATTTTTGAAATTTCTCTTAAAAAATTGAAGAATAAAATGTAACATCTTCACTTCTCAATCAAAATATAAACATTCGAATAAATCACATCAAAATATTCATTTTTTCTATGTTTGCTATCTAAATATGTAAAGTTTAAATACAGTTATTTTACCATTTTACGTCTACTCTTATCAGGTCCCACCTAGATGCAAATTAGCTAAAATATTAATGTATTTAAACACATCATTCTTGAGTTCAAGAGAGAGCTTTTGCCTGCTATCACTGTCCAGTTACTTTTATAATTCTCAGCTACTACTTTGCTTTATCAGCTTTAGGCACAACTATTTTATAAAATTTGAGGGTGGAGCCAAATCTCAGCCTGTATTACTTTGTATCTAATATTTAACACTGAGACTTTTTCTACATTTTCCCACAAAATAGCAGAGATTTGATTTTTTATTATTATCAGTTTTGTGTAATGTCAGGCTTATTTTAAACTCTCATCTGAGTTTTGAGATTACTGTACTTACTAGGTATGAGAGAAGGATAAATCATCTGACAGTCTTTACAATTCTAGTTGATGTTTCAAGTGTAAAACCATACAAACGAGCTTGAACTCATAGTAATTTTCAAAATTTATATTCTTAATACTCTCCATTTAAATACTTTCTAGAAAAAGTAATATATTAAAGGCAAAATGCAATGCATTGGTGTTGTTTGATCAAATTTTCACCTATATAAATGTACAAATAATTATAAAACCATATAAAAAAACAAATATTCATGAATACAAGTTTTAAAACGGACTCAATAAGATCAAAATGAAAAATTTAATGGTTCTACTTGTCATCATATTTTCACAATTTGAGAAACAGACATACATGCATACATAGTTTCTTTAATATTTAATAACAGATATAACTAATGGTATTTCGTATTATTCCATTCTGCGAATTTCATTCAAAATTCATAGCATTAAATATATAGATAATAAATGCCCTATCATTTGCAATTTCATTTTCAAATAATTCAACTTTAAGTAATCAAATTATTCTCATATCAAAAATCTGCAACATGCATAGTTGGGTGAGAACAAAATATCTGATATGAACATTACATACATGATTTCCTAGTATGGCTTATTAAATTACACACATTTTTTACTGAATTTCATTTAAACTTATTTCTTTGAATTTGATTAGAGATATATTTTGCATTCAATTAATTCAGTTCTCAATTTTCAGCAAGACAAAAAAACATAAAAACTCAAAACATCTTAATTAAAAATTCATCTTCATTTCTGTAAAATACAGAAAAACATACAACACCAATTACAGTTAAAACAGTTAATAAAACAATTTTATAATTTAAATTAAGAGTTTGTACACAAAACTAAGCAATGCGACCAGCAGGCAGGAAGACAGTTTTCTTTTGTGTGTGTGTACAAAATTGGAAGTTAAGGTTTGGTCTCACTGGGCAAAAGACACTGAAACAAACTGACTTAATTCACTGTTCTACTAAGAGTTTCAAATGTAAACAAATAGTGGCCTCATTACGCTTACCAACACTTAAACTGTTAAGTTGTTGATAATTCTACAACTATAGCATGCAGATTAACTAAAGGCATAAAAACCTTAACCAGAACATAAAAAGGAACATAATTCAATCACTTTTAAAAGTAAAAAATGCAAAATTTACCAACACATAAGAATAAAAAAACTGAGCTCACTGAACCGAGTAACAGAGTAATTATGTATGTGTACACATAAAGAAATATATATATATATATGTGTATGTACACATAAATATATAGGCCCACCAGCCGCCGAGCGGTAAAATTGCTAAACACTGGTAGTTTGGTCCGAGGTTCGAATCCTGCGAACGGGCTGGCTGCATGGGCGTTCTCGTGGTTTTCCCCCATGTGTAACGTGTATACGAGCCAGTTTCCCTTAGAAAGTCCTCCACGAAGGCACCCCTCCTCTTAGGCATATAGCCCTAGTGTGCTTTGCTGTATTCTCAATACACCACCACACCACCACACCACACCATAAATATATAATATATATATATCTACATGCTTGGTACTGCCAACTGCAACCAAAAAGGGGAGGTGCAAAACTGCATGTTATAGCAGTATCCATATACAAAATTTCAAAGTTCTACAGCTACTCTTTTTTAAGTTATGTTGGATATATATGTAAGTATGTGCACATGTTATGAAAAAAAAAATTCTCTTCTGAATCCATTTTGGGAAAAGATTCCTTTATTCTGTCCGTATGTACAGATGTCCCACAAAAACATCATTCAAATGGATTCGTAAGCAGTTGAAATGGAAATTTTAGTTGAAATATGATACCTGAAATTTTTAACGATTACAATACTTCCTTTACTTCGCTCAAGGAAGCAATAACTTTCAGATTCAAGAAATAAGTAATGTCAGATACATGAAAATAGATTTTTTTTTTTTTTTTTTTTTTTTTTTTAATTCCACAGTTTTCTAAGAATTTTTTGGGAGAGAGAATTCTTAAATAAAAAGAACAGCAATTCTTCAGAACCAATTTTCCATGAAGACATTCTCAAGTATAATAATCAGCAAGGGCTATCTGTCAAAGTAGAGATGTTTTTGTGAACAGATGCTTAAAGAAAACTGGTTTACATTAACATTATGCTCTTAAAAATACTATGCAGCCTATGTTGTAGCAGTACGGCACATTATCAACTATTATGAGTACAGCCATTTAGTTAATGAAAAAATCAGGATTTTTCATCATTTTTAAAAATAATTTATCATAATTAATCAAATTTCTATTCTAAATATATGACTTATCACGAAATAACTTTTATCAAAATAACCCGAGGACTATAACATCACACAAGATGCATATATTTCTAGAGATCAATTTTCAAGATACAAAATGTATATAAGTACAATAAAACAGAAATAAACATTATTTTTTTCTAATCTGAAGTACCTTATGCTGCCAGGCCAGAAGTTTGCTCTTGTTTATGATGACATTGAAGAGAAAATATGAGAGCTAAAAATTAAAACTGAAGAAACAAATATATGCTTCAAATTATCCGACCTCGTACAAAAGATGATTTTCGATCAAAATTCCGATTTTTACTTTATTACATTATCTTAAAAAAATGCATCTTTAGCTATCAAATACAATTTTTCTGCTTGTTGATAAGTTAATTAGAAGTGAAGTTATAAGGATTTTTCTGCAATGGGGTAAACCAGAAGTTCAAATATTCTCGGCCGGAAGTGAGTGTTTAAAGACGCATACCTATTTAAAACCCTAATTATCAAGATTTTGTAAATTATGAACCTTTATGCTAAATTTAGGTACTTTGTAATACATTTTGAGAATCTGGCAGTAGTTTTTTTCCCTTAATTTCATATTTAGTTTGGCGGAGAGAGTATTCATAGCTGAATGGATGCGTTGCGGCTTTGTCGATTAACGCTGAAAAAGTGCTTGACTTGAAAGTTATTTCACAGTTTTGCATCATTTCCAACAAAACAAACAAAACAGAATGCAATCTTCAGATGACATATGTAAAGCATAACATATTGCTCTGCAAATTATGAGGGAACAGCTTCAGGTATAGAAGCAGTTGGTGCTTATTGCCTTTTTGAATGATCTATTAAATTACAAAAGCTGAAGTACATGGAGTATTATGGAGATGAGGATTCTAAGGTGTTTTTAATTATGAAAGATATATATGGTAAAGATTCTGTCAAGAAATAGGAATGCATTGGACATATACAGAAAAAGGCTGGTAGTAGACTGCGAAAAGTAAAAAACTCCACTCCTGGTTTGAAAGGAAATGGTAAACTGCCCGATTCTTTCATTGATAAAATGCAGACTTACTATTATGGGATTCCAATTAGAAGTAACGTTGGAAACTTAATTGAAATGTAGCAGCCTGTAATAGCTGCTTATTCCATTGTAGCTCTTCTTCAAAGCCAAATACATGGCCAATGTCCTCCTCGATCAATGAATTGGAGCAACTATCAATGTGTGATTGCAGAAAAGGAGAAAAAAAAATCAGCCAGAAAAACCTCTGGTATATCAACATAATATTTAAAATATTAATTAAACCTACATATATAGAGCAGTGTAAACAAGAGTTATTAAAAAAGTGCATGCGTGGCATAACTGAAAATACCAAGGAACATTTTAATGGCATTTTATGGCAAGTATTTCTGAAAGAAACATGCATAAACTTACGAACATTAATATTTGGAGCAAGTGTTGTGTTGTGTTATTTAATTTTGGATTTACCGGTTTGTTGGAAGTATTTTCAAGGTTAGGTATGTGTCCTGTAGGAGTAGGGAATTCGAAAACTTGATAAAGTGCAAAATAACGACTCTCAGCAGCATTCTACAAGTTTTTAAAAAAACAAAGAAAAAAATTACGCTTTTTCGAAAGAAAAAGTGCTATGTGAGTGAAGACACCAAGGTGCCAGTTACAAAGAAGGGGAATTTTAATTGTCAGAAATATTTCTTTCACTAAGAAATTATTTTATGAAAACTTTAAACTTGTTTTCTGAAAAATGCAACTTTTTGTAAATATTGCCAATAATACTATAGTTACTCAAAATTTTATAGATAAAATTAAATGATACTTTCCATATATGCTTCATATAATCAGATGCATGCTCACAAGTGGAAGATTTTAGAAACATTAATTACAAGTAGAATTGTTACTTTTTATTTTTAGATTTTGGGTGATATAATAGGAAAATATACAGTAAATACCTATACATTTTTTATATATCTTAAGAATATATGAATATTTTTTAATTATTTTACTTCATTGCATACAAAACAAGTGTAAAAATAAATACAAATTTAAAAAAAAACTGTATAGTTATGTATACATTGTTCACCATAGTTGTTGCCATAAAGGCAAAATTTAAGCAAAAGTATCCTTTTTTTCATTATTTTTCAAAATTAAAATTACTTAGCATTACTTTTAAAGCTGTTTTCACTCATTAATATGCTTATCTTCAAATTAAAATGTTTATATAAAATAAAAACTATTTTTCAAAAAATGGTACCCAAACATGGTTAGATACCTTAAAATGAATTAATTCTCTGAAAATTTTAGGAAAAGATAACTTTTAATCAAATTTAACTATTAATATTCGAAAGAAAATATAATAAAACATGTAAAAATAAATTTTATGACTGTGCATAAAAAGTACAAATAATATAAATAAAAATTTTTAAAATAAAATTTAAAAGTTTCAAGATATTAATGATTGCCCAAAAGGTTCTTTTAAAACTTGGTATGGTTTTATCAATAGAGATTATAGATAGATGTGGCCCAAGTGTGTATTGAAACTTCCATGTTAGTCTAAATATGCATTTAGACTAACATGAAAATGTGACATATCTTCTGTATATTTAAAAAAGTGGAAAAAATAAGTAATGTAATTCTATAAAAATATTCAATGCTTTGAATTAGATATATCATGAATTAAAAACATTTTATTTAAATCAATCATATTAAAAAGTAAAAATATAATAATAATATTAAGAACTGCATCTACTGCTTTTAAATATTTTAGTTTGTTGATAAATAACAGACAGACTAAATATGAAGGATTAATATCTTACATTTTTTCTGAATGATAGCAGACTTAAAGGAAAAGTGAAAGAATGCAAAATCATGTTTTGAGATTAATAGCTCTTTTGGACATCTCTAACATAAATTCTAAATCCATGAATGAATGAAATACAAAAACTGTATGGATAGATAAAGGAAATCATTACCTGAATTAGGTATAGGTTTAATAAATATTTCTACTAGAGCATTCTCTAATATTTCCAGCTGATAACGGTTACCAAGAAGATCTTCATTTAAGTGAAAGATGGATCCTTGTATAACTTGAATAAACATTTCCTGTAATTTTATTCGAATGAAAATATTTGAATTTAGTACATAACATAATATTGATTTTA